AAAAAAAAAAAAAAAAAGAAAAAAGGAAGGAAGGAGGTCAAAGGATGAGTTCGAGGGGGATAGAAGGAAAACCGGTTGAAAAGGAGCTAAGAGAGCAGGGATTTTAGCTCAGTAGTGCTGCCACCTGCCTCAAGTGCAAGGAACTAAGATGTGTTATGTACATGCAACAACTTCCCACAAGGAGTGTGAACACTATGTACTACATGCATGAACTAATAAACTAAAAAAACATGTAGAATTTCATGCCTCTCTTGGTTCACCTTTATAATATTCTTCAAAAAACAAAATTGCAGAAATGGAGAATGGTTTAGGACATATATTGGAGAGGAGCAGGTGTGCCTTTGTAAGAGCAGCAAGAATAATCCTTGTGAAGGGGGCCTGCAGGTATTAATGCCAATGCCTTTTGCTTATGAAATAAGATGTTACCTTTTGAGCAAACAGTAAAGAATATACATGGTCTTTCTGTTATTTCTTACAATTGCATGTGAATCTATAATTTTCTCGATAAAAATTTCAACTGAAAATTATGCAATGTAGGGCAGCAAATGTAGCTCAGTGGTAGAGCATATTATTTGTATAGAGAGACCTTGGGCTCAATCCCAAGCACAAGAAAAAAGCCCGAAACACGTGTAATGAGTTTAACTTTTTCAATGTGGTAATTTTAAAGATAGTCTTATTAATAAAGAAAAATACCTTCCTCAAAATTAAATCATATTTTGAGGCAGAATAGAAGATAATTAACTGTGTTTTTACTGTGTTTCTTATTCTTTCGGCCTTCTTGCACCGATTCATTCGAAAGTCAGTTGCAAAAATCGAACACCCACTACGTAAGACTTGATGTTGGGATTTGGTACCCTTCGGGGTACTGAGAAATTCATCTTACAGAAATAGTAGCAAGCTTGTAACCAGATGTATAGTATAATAGGCTGATTAAAGGTAGCACCCCAGAACTTAATAGTTCTGTGACTTAAAAAGAGTTATTTATTTGAGCCTCAGATCCCCTGAGGTGTAATATTATAATAATAATACTGTTTGTATTAGGGCTATAATACAAATTAAATAAGATAATATAGATAAGCATTTAGCCCTGAGCCTGACAGCTAAAAGCACCTTATATAAAATGACTAGATAGGAGAATGTTAAGCATTACTATGAGATTGATATAAATTAGAGGTAGAAGGACAGATGTACTCTCTGGAGTTATTTTCTGCAGACAGATGCTTATTTGTGGAATTGAGAAATAGACTTGGAAGAGAGCTGCAGTTTTGAAAGTGTGATATGCATGTTAAGGAGCTGTTGTTTATCTTGTAGGCAGTTGAACTTTTGGAGGTTTCAAGCAGGAGAACAAAAGAAATGGCCACAATATCTGCATTCTTACCAGCATACTTAAAAGGCTATTGGAATACTCTAAATAGTGTTTCTCAGAATGGAAACACTTCAGCAGAATCTCTTGAAAAATTACACTGGAGTGTTTTATTTTTAATGAGCATTCTAGATGGTTCATTTCTTCATAGTGTTCATGAATTGCTATCAAAAAAAGAATTCTTAATGAAAAGAGTATTGAGAAAAAAAGATTGTGAGGCCATTTTGACAAAGATTTAAGAGGTAAATTAACAACATTTGATAATCCACAGGCTATGGAAAAGTGAATTGTAAGAAAGAGGTTGTTGCTAAAGTGTTTAACTTGGAGAATTAGTCCCACAATAAGGAAAAGTAGAATGAGTTGCAGACTGTATGCCTCTTTACACCCTGTAAACACTGTTGAAGATGAGGATATCCTGATGGAAATAGACAATAGTCCTATGGAAAAACCTATCTAGATTTTACGTAAGCAATGAGAACTGATGAAATAAGTATGAGGAGTTAAGGCATCCCCAAGGACTATGTGGAGTTAAAAGACTGAGGAGCTGAGGGTAATATCCTGAGGCACTAAAATTTAAAAGGAAAGACAGAAACTGTTGAGGAAATCTAGAACAAATATTTGAAATGGTTGTGATGTCAGCCAATTTACTGTGCATGGTTGTGGAAATCTAGAAAATAGAGTAAAAAGACAATTAAAATATTATTAGGACATTTATCCCTTGAGATGGTTTTTGCATTTGCATTTTTTAAACATTTTCTTTCTTTTGTAATTAGTACATGTTTTAGTACATAATGATTGCATTCATCAGGGGAAGTTAGTACAGGTATATAACACATCTTAACTCTTTAATTTTAGTTGCAGAAGTTTTAATATGCTCTTTTAAAAATCAAGAACTTTTTTCTTAGTGAAAACTTAAATATAACAAATAACAATCCCAGGATAGGGCCTATTGCACAGCATGCTTTGAATACCTACTGTCATCTATACTAGTCCTATTTTTTAGGACAATTGCTAGATAGAAACCAGTCTGACTGGCTTTAACAACCAAAACAAAATGTTTAAAAGTATTTAACAAAGCTGTAACGTACCGCAGCTAGATTTGATGAAAAAGACCAATCTTCCCTATCACAATACTACTGACTTGGAGAAGTAGCTAAGTGGTAGATCACCTAGCCTAGCATATAGAGGCCCTGGGTTCAATCCCTAGCATTCACCCAAACAGAGTCACCAGGAATTTCTTTCATTTTGCTCCTTTCTTAGATCAAATCTCTCATATAGACAACAAATTGGCCAGCAACATCACTTCACTTGTATATCACACACCAACTTCCATAGACGATAACATCCCCCAAAGATTCCTGAATATCCCTGCTTTGTTTGCAGTTGTTCACTTTTGAGTCATATGATTTCACCTAAACCAGTCATCGGAGCCAAGCTACATCTCATTGGCCGGATCTTGATTACACTGGCTACCTCTTGATTAAGAATAGAGCTTTCGGCCAGGGGTGGTGGTGCACGTCAGTAATCCCAGCACTCACGAGGCTGAGGCAGGAGGATCGCTGTGAGTTCGAGACCAGCCTGAGCTACATAGTGAGTTCCAGGTCAGTCTCACTATGCAGTGAGACCCTGTCTCAAAAAACAAAAAGCAAAACAAAACAAAAAAATAGAGCTATCACAGATTCA